AACATGAAAGCTTTTAGGAGTTTGGGATCAATATTTAAAATTTCGACAACAAAGGACCAAAATCGTATGAGGAACTTGAAGTAGGTGCCAAGACATTTAATTGACATCGTACGATTTCATACCAAAATTTTTTTGCACTATTGTTGGGAACGATTTTAGTTTAATATTATTTTAGATTATTTCTAGTTTTTGTTTGATTTATGCTTGTATGTTTAGTTATAAAGGTCAAAAGTATTTGTTATATGCTCTGCTCACAAGTAGGGGCGGACTTGGGGGTAGCCTGGGGGTCAAGTGCCCCCCCAGATTTTGAAGGATTTTTGTTTTATTTTTTTTAATATATATATATAAAGAAAAAAAAATTGAATCCCAAACTATTGCCCTAATTTCTCTCCCCCCACCCTCGTCTCCAACTCTCTCTCCCCGTCCCCATCTCCTCCGACTCTTTCCCCGTCTCCAACTCCCCCCCCCCCCAACAAATCTCACACCTTACCAGTCACCACAAGTCCACAACACCACTACAGACACAACCCATACACCACTGACTCCACAGTCTCCACGACTCCACTCAAAGATTCAAACTTCTCCACTCGAAGATCCACTGCGCTAGTTCCACTGCCCTTCTTCTCCGACTCCGTAGCAGCCCCAACTCCTCTAGTCTCTAACTTCGAAGCTCCAGCCCAACTCCTCCAGGCTCCAGGTCTGTGTCTGACTGCTTATTTTTCGTTTTGTGTTGACCGTTATTTTGTTCATTTTGTAAATGAATTGTTTCGATTTTTCCTCTGAAAAATGAAATTAATGGGGGTTATGATATTGATTGTTAAGTGTTAATATAATGTTTTGAACTGAATTTAGGGATTGATAGTTGGGGACTAAATTTAGGGCTTGAGCTTACTGATTTGGGGATTTTGATGAGATTTGATTTAGGGATTTAGTGATTTTGGTATAAACCTGTTTCATGGAATTAGATACCAGCCAGTGTCTTTGAATTAGGATTTAGGAA